TATATATATATATATATATATATATATATATATATATATATATATATATATATATAATCATGTCATAAAATAACTGCATAACGCGCAATACAAAAATTTGCAAAATTTCAACCAAAATGAATGCAAAAAAATATATACATACATATTTTTTATTATTTACGCAATAATGCGTACAATCAACAGTTGTCGGTAAGTGTGTACAAACAATACAAATATTGACAAATTATAGATTTATAAATAATTTTTGATCTCTTGTAGACTTATAGATTATTATAATATTATATAATACACACATACACGCACACATACACGCGCGCGCGCGCGCGCACGTGTGTATGTGTATAATAGCCTTATTAGTGCGATAGTGCATTTTATTTTGTGTATAGAGATATCTAAATCTGTCCAAAACTGATTTTGAAAGGTAAATATAACCTGAGATTGGAAACCTGAGAGTGAAAATCGAAAAATTTTCCTTTCCATAGATACATTCAAGTAAAATATTATATTTAAAATATATTGAAAAATGTTGCAAATAATTCTATATATGAAAAGATCGCAAAACTAAATTTGAACGAATATACTACAGATAATGGAAAATATACAAGATAAAACAATAATAATTACCGGTGGTGGCCGTGGTATTGGCTATAGCATTGTTGAAGAATTACTTCGCAAAGGTGCAAAGGTAATTTATAATCATAAACAAAAACAAAGATACTTTATAATATATAATATATATTTTATCACTCTTATGTCTTATTACAGAATCTTATTAAACCATCATTATCAGTTTCACGTTTTATTATAGAAAATCGCTATTGTCGACCTGCCTATGTCGAAAGACCACGAAGCAGTGACTACTTTGAAAGGAAAATTCGGGGAAGAACGTGTCATCTATTTTCCGTGTGATATAACAAAAACCGAAGACTTCAAAGGTCGAATCTCTGATCAAATGACCTGAATTATAACGAAATAATCATAATTTTTTTACTTATCATTTATCTTTAACGATCGTAGCGTTTATATTTTATAGATTTGAGTAGAAAATATTTATTAAATGGGCCGTTTAAGGTTCTTGGTCCTCGCCGCGGATATATTGATTTATGACATTAGAAAAAAGGATATGCATACCTGCAAAGTATGTCGAAGTGAAAAGATATATGACATTAGCAATTGATTAGGTATACATACACTTCTAAAATACTCCGAACACTTTCCTTTTGCTCTATCAATAAACCATAAAACGGTTTAACGTGAGATAATAAGGAAATAAAGATTAAAAAAGAAGATTGTATGTTACGTTAATTTTACGGTAATTTATTAATTATTGGAAAAAGGAAAAATGCTTGGAATATTTTAGGAGTGTATTTAATTGATTGTTAATTTCCCAGCTAGCAAGATAACGTCATTAAGACGTCTATACCCAGCAAACACAATGTTACATGTAACGTACATGTTAGTTGTAATTTCCTACTCAACAATATAACTGTTACATAACACGCGTGTTATATAACAGTTATATTATTGAGTAGGAAATTATAACTAACATGTACATTACATGTAACATTGTGTTTGCTGGGTAACATCTTAATGACAACCTAATGAAGTCACAGTTGCTACCTGGGTTTTTGGATATATGTTTTTACTTCGTCATATCGACTTGCAAGGAAGTATTTGGTTTATTTTAAAGATGTCGACTGCAAGTGTTTTTTTATAATAGTATATCTTTTACTTCGATATATCTTTTTATTTCGATGTACTTTGCAAAAAATTTTGGGTATATATTTCTTCACTTCTAACGTTATTAATCAAGAGTTTCGCGATGAGAAATCAAGAACCTTAATATATTACTCAATAAACTATCAGTAACATAATTAGTAATTTCAATATTATAATTTTCTACTCAACAATGTAATAATACAGCGCGAGAGAATTATGCAACAATTACATTGAATGAAAAATTATAACATTGATGTAATGTTATGGTTGATATTTACTGAGTAACTTGTTTCTTAATCATTAGAGATTTTCAAGCAAATTGTGAGAGTTCTCAATGGACTGGATATACTCATCAACAATGCTGGACTTCAAAATGACAATTTGGTTGAACAGACCTTTAATATAAATGTGGTAGGTAAAGTCAAAATTAATTTTTTTCAAAACAATAAATTTGGAATAATAAGACTTTCCAAAATTTCAATTATAACTATATTGATAAATTATGTCATCACATTTTAATTAAACTTATGTAAACATATTTATGTACTACCCCAGATAGCACAGAGAATTTAAAAAGAATTTAGTCGTATATCACCAATTCTAAATTCATTTTTAGATGCAAAAATAATTCTTTTTACTAAACTGAACTCTAAATAATTTTCTTTACACCTGAAAATGAACTCAGAATTGGTGATATATGACTAAATTCCTTTTGAATTTTTTTTTAATTCTTTGTGTTATCTGGGATCTTACGTACCTTAATTTACGTAAATATGTTTATTTACTACATTCGATATATAACGTTTATAATAAAAATATATGTTTCATTATTTTTATAGATAGCGCTAATTCGCGGTTCACTTATGGCTTTGGATTATATGGGAAAGCACAATGGCAGCAAGGGAGGTACCATAGTAAATGTAGCATCCACAGCTGGAATTGTACCTTCACCTGAACTATCAGTATATTCTGCTTCTAAGTTTGCGGTCGTTGCATTCGGTCGCAATCTCGAGGTGCGATATATATTTTACGAAAGCAAGAAACATTGTTGTACTTCATCTACACTATTATTTTAGACTCCTGCAATTAAAATATTTTAATTCTTTAAAAATTTATCTTAAGGATATCTAAGATATCCTTAAAATATCTGTGCAATATTTTTTAGACCTTCATTTTCCTGTATGCATATTCGACAAATTGTTATTGTATTGCTTTGTTGCAATAGTTAATTTATAAGTTAATATCACTTATAATGAATAAAGGATGAATAAAATTTTACAGAAATTATTTTTATACAGGCCTTTTATAACAAAACCAATGTTCGTATTCTAACATTATGTCCTGGTTTAACAAAAACGAAATTGGCAATGGATATCAGCACTAATACCGTTCTCGATTTTGTGGATGAAGAAATGGTACAGAGCATAAATACTTTTACAAAACAACCGTAAGTTTGAAATAATTAATACATAGAAAAATCTATATAAATTATGTTTGCTCATCATTTTCTTATTGATTCCATTTATATTATTAAATGTCCCATAAAAAATTACATAAGTAACTTATTAATATAACACATTTCATATCTATAGATGTACACATGTAGCAAATGCTGCTATCGATCTCATTCAAAAGGGTGAGAATGGAACAATTATGGTTGTTAAAAATAATGAGCCACCATTTGCTATAAAAATACCATTGTATGTTTGCAAGTAAAATTCAGCATTAGGCTCTTACACAAAGGGATTAAGCAATATTAAAAAAAAAAAAAAAAAAAAAAAAAAAAAAAAAAAAAAAAAAAAAAAAAAAAAAAAAAAAAAAAACTGGGAACTATCCCCAGAATCTAAAATAATGTATTTGATATAATCAAAATTTTACCAAAATTTAATCAAAATTTTAGAAGAAACAAGAGAATACACACTTACATATATATAATATATATGTATATGTACACACATATAATTTGTACATAATAATAATAAAACCCTACAAAATGCAAAATAAAAGTATGGCAGATATCAGTACAAAAATAATATAATATTTATTGTTATAATAATTGACATATTGTGGTAAATTCAGATGGGGGTGTTATTGCCATTCTAGAATATATCTTAAATAATATAATTTTAAATAATAATTTTAAATATATCCTAGAAGGCGCATGCGGCGATAATAGCCTCCATTTGAATTTACCACAATATGTTAATTATTATAACAATAAATATTATAATTAACACATGTATCTTTGGTAATTATAATAAATGTTAAATATATAGTAATTTTTATAATACTTGTTGAATTTTTATTTCAAATGCATTGTCTCCTCGATGACTGTTGAATCAAGAGTAAAACGAAACAAATTGCTTGAAGCGTCGGGACGTTTAATACGCAAACTTAGTAATCTCAATTGCTATTTTTCATCTTCTGTGATTTAAAAACACCTGTTCTGGAATAGAAGACTAGAGAACCCAATCTACGTTCCGAAATTCACTGCCAGTACTGAAATTCTATAGTTCATGTCACGTATACTATAGAATTTCAACACTGACAGTGAATTTCGGAACGCAGCCCATGTATTACCAGGTGATTGAAAACTGAGGCGGTAGATGGCACACCAAAAAGCGATAGATTTAAAGCGGTAGATCTTTTATTTCAGAAGTTTTGTGAAATAAGACATAAAACTGATTTAATAAAAAAAATATTGTAATTATAAATAATACGAATACCTAAAACAACTTAATAGCAAATAAAAGAGAAATTATACTTATAATAAAAAGTGTATTCATAGTTTTTTCTGTAATCGGTTGCTTTCCAAAAAGAGACACAAGTCAACACAAATATCATTCTATCTTTGTTCCACATTTAGTCAGTAACAAAGATAGATACTTGTGTAGATTTATGTCTCTTGTTGGAAAATAACCTTTATTTAGTCTCACTGAATATCACAAATTTTGTATAAAACTGGTTAACAGAAAAAATATTCTAATTATAATAAGTAATACGAAAGCCAATGCAGGGTGAGAATATAGAGTTCCTAGGGACTCTTGGTTGCATTCCAAAACATCTTTTTCGAAGAAAATTTTACTCTTAAATCTATAGTTCATGTTACATATACTATAGACGTAAGAATAAAATTTTCCTCGGAAAGGACGTTGTGGAATACAACCTTAGTAGGAAACACGATAACACCGCTCACGGTAGTCTGGCAGTACTAAATTAGAATAGCGGAAATAATATGTTGTTTCAAATATAATTTTCTTATTTATAAGCGTGGTTGTCAGTCTTTAATGTATTCTTCAAGATTAAAATTTTCAATTTCTACACGAATAATCGATAAAATATATAAGTAAAATAAAAAAACGGTAGATAACCCAGCTAAAACGGTAGACGGTAGATTTGTGAGTAGACCAAAACGGTAGACCTGGCAACATTGAGAGAACCTCAAGGATGCGTTCTTTTATTCACACATATACAACCCCATGCATAATTTAATCGTTCTGTATATACAGTTGCGCACATTAAACTGCAGACTGCGTACATCTTGACCGTTCTTTAATTTAAGTTGCAAGCAAAATCGTGCAATTGTTTGCAACTTTTAGCATCCCAATCCAAGCGGTTGCCGAAAAATTATAGCCTGAGTTCCGAATGTGCAGGAACCTTAAGTACAAATACGATTCTTTAGTGTGCAGAAAGTAGCGCGTTTCTCAGACAGCACACAATATTTATGATAAATATTTATTTCGAATTATTTCTTAAAAATATTACATAAATATAATATAAATATTTTATATATACACACACATGAAGTAAAAAGTATCAAAATCTTTATTGAAAATATTATTAAAATACAGACTAAATATTTTATACAATATTTATAGTAAACGAAAAATAAATATTAGTAGTAATATTTTGTAAATATATCTACAAATATTATATATGAAAAAAATAAATGTAATTACTTAAAATTATTAAATTAATAAAAAAATAAAAAATCCGAATCTCAGCAATGGTAAGCAAATTTTCAAAGTACAATTTAAATTCAATTAAGTAGCGTGTGAAACAATAAAATGGAAATTTTAAGAAAAATTCAGGAAAAGAGAAAAATGTATATAAATGTATATATTTTAATAAATATTTTTATAATATTTATAAGATATATAAATATTTTTCATCTATTGAATCTAAGGTCACAAAAATATTTTGTAAATATATTTGTAAATATATTTATGAAACATTTTGGTAAATATTCATAAAATATTCAAATAAATCTTATAAATATTTTGTAAATATTTTATAAATATTTTGTATTGTCTGGGTTAATGGATGAAAAGGATAGAGAATAGTAGTAATTGATGTAATGTGTTCAATAAATGTACAAAAATGTGTATTAAATATAGTCGAAATACTACAATCTTAACAAAGAAACACATAACTGCTATATAACATAGAAGTAACAAGAGTATGTGTTATGTCTATGTTATATAACAGTGATATTTTGTTCTAGGATAATTGTAAAAAATATGGAAAAATTAATTTATTAATGAGTTGTAGATGGATACTGCAAATATGGGAGCTATTGGAGGTTTGTTTTTAATAACAGCATCTGAAATTAACTCTGAGGACTCTTTATCCTCATAACTGGCCATGTTCTATGTACTAAATCGATTTCAATTAATGACATTTTTTATATTATTTGATATTATTATTAGACTGCCTCTCTCTCTCTCTCTCACACACACACACACACACACACACACACACACACAATTTTTATAAAAGCAATATTGATACATTACTGATGGGACCCGACATCGGACATACGACGACCCAATAGCTAATAGGAAAATTTATTTTCTAGGGACAGTACATCACTAGCTAGTAACTTTAAAAAGTGCAATCTTGATGCATCCACGAAATGCATTCTGCTACATCTGTTGCAAATAAAAGGGGAGCGTCCCGATTGACCACGGTACGATTGGACACAACCAACTGATGAAAAGAATTATCTAGTGAATTACTAGGTCGAACCAATCATTACAATCTGTGTCCAATCGTACCGTGGTCAATCGGGTCCCACCCAAATAAAAGAACGCAACCCTAGGGTCGTTCCAAATTAGGTGTGTTCCAAAATTCAACTTTGGTTACCATAGTTCTATAATTTATATTACGTATACTATAGAAAATAGTAACCAAGTTACTAACCAAGTTACCTATAGTTACCAAGTTTATATTACGTATACTATAGAAAATAGTAACCAAGTTTGAATTTTGAAACGTACTCTAAAGAGAATCGCCAAGAAGCCGGAAGTTGGCAGTTTAAAACAGAGTGAGAAAGTTGATTTGTCTCTAGTGCTTTCTCATTCTATCGTATAGAAAGAATATGGTCACTGTCAAACTGTCAAGTGCTATATATAATGTAGTGCAGAATTAAAAAAATAAAACCATATCTTTCACTTATCTTGATATAAAATTGATTTAATATTTATAATATTTTATGCTGTGTATAAATAATCACAGCAATTGGTCTTATCCTGTTCTCATTCTACTGTCAAATGAAAATGTTAGGTTACTATAACGAAATACAGTTCTTGGATAAAGTTTAGTGCTGTAAATAGTTTAGTACTGTATGTGCTTCAGAGTGACGAATGGATCAATCACATTACTTTATTTAACGTTTTAAAGTATTTGCAGTGTGTTAAACGGATCCTCCTTAACGGTCAATAATATAGTGAGAAAGCACTGGGGGTAAATCAACTTTCTCACTCTGTTTTAAATTGCCAACTTCCGGTTTCACTTTGCGGACAGAATGCCTGGTCTATGTATATACGTCACTGGCTTGGTTTACATCGTACACTTGATACGCGTACTAAATAGTTACTTTCTATTAGATAAACTTAATATCGACGATATATATAAACAACAATATATTAAGCTGGTATAATACTCATCAATAAAACATATTGTATTGATTGAACGCGTCGCCGCTAATATGCATTGTCAATATTAAGATTATCTAATAGAAAGTTACTATTTAGTACGTGTATCAAATGCACGATATAAACCAGGCCATTGGATACGTTCGATAAACGCAATTAGTGCGACATCATGCGTGCAACAATCAAATTAATTTATCATGTTGCCTATCTATAGTGATGGTGCATACTCGATGGCCGAGGCTCAGTCTCACATTAAAATGGCCGCATTTTAGTCTACAGAATATACTTTTCTTTACTGTTTGCCAATATCCCGTGCTGAGGGCTTGGCGGTGTTCGCTACATGGTGTGGCCGATCTGTTTCGCCGGAAATTTCACTGTATCGTGTGTCGCGCGCAAAATTTCCGTGAAATAGAACGAGCTAGATCGGGTAAGTACGTACGAAGCGAGGAACAAGAGCGGCTCGCGTTCAGCATTCAGCGGAAATGCCGCCGTTGTCGTTATCATCGTCGTCGTTGACGCCAGGCTGTCACATTGTGTCGAATTGACACTTATTTATAGACGGAATCTCGACTGGGCACGCACAGACCCGTAATATGGGTCCGTGCGTACGAAGATCGCGCGCGACCGCGATGACGCGTTTGTAAAATCTCATTCACTACTGCTAACTGTACCGGCTCGCCTTTTTTTTTGTAAGAAGGATAAACCGTCTTCCTGTACGCGTACACAGCCATTTGTATCATATTAGGGCTGCGATAATGACGAATTGCGATAAGTTAAACATCATAAGACAGTGTTCAAGATCGCCGGTAACGTGACGTGCCAACCTTAGAGCTTCCGCACAAGAACATCTGTAATATGTTAAGTTTACGGATTTCTTGGTGCGTTGACTTAAGTTTAAGTTTACGTACAAGTATGGCCATTGTCAGTACTTAACGTAACGTAACATGTTACGGATGTGCTTGTGCGTTGACTCTTACCCGTTCATTTTTTAACGAACTTGCGGTTGCTTCTAAAGAGGTGTTCTTTCAAAATTTTTATTTTGAAACGATTCGAGAAATACATGTGTGAATATATGTGAAAATAAATATATATATAGGGTGAAGGTCATAGAAATTGGAGCAAAGTTTTATCTGTGATAAATGAGAAGAACTAACTCTAGAAGAGAAGAGCTAACTCTGTTTGCCTTCTTCTCTTTTACTGATTAATATAATGAAAGGAATTCTTTTCTCTTTTGTAGGTTTCTCTATAGATTTTCATAAGATGTTACGCCATCACGCAATGCAAAATCAGTTGCGAGATAACAGGTTAATATTCTCAAGTATATATTCTTGTTAGTCAATCTTTATTCAAGATGTTTATACAGATATAATAATGTATAAATTGTCTACGTTCATTAGTTATCTATGTTGCATGCCTATGTTTATTAGTTATCTATGTTGCATGCCTATGTTTATTAGTGAGTTCATAAATAATCAGGTAATTAATATAACAAATATATGAGGATATATTTTAATCAAAGGAACATGTTTGTATAGAATGGCAGGTCCGATGCGGCCTATGCAGCAGGCTAACTTGCCCCCTTTACATCAGCCGCAGCATCTGTTGCCGCATCGGAATCCACATCAACCAATACTGTCAATGCCCCCCCATCAACAGCATATGCATCACATGCAGCATCCTGGCCCGCCGCATGGAAATCCCAGACAGCCAATGTTGATGGGCATGAATACGCACAATGCAAACAGTAAGTATAGATATATATTACAGTGATGATGTTTAAATTTCCTGCTTAACTTTCTATTAAGGAGTTTATTCATTTAAATTAAAATGCTTAAAATTATACAAAAATGTAACATTTATCACAGTGAAACACATTTGTAGTTCAAGTTCTATACAATTTGCTTACACTTCATGAGAAACTTAATGCTGAACATTGCAATGTTGCATATATAATATTATAGTGGAAGCAATATAGATAATCATTATTCTAGTGTAACTTTTTGTAAAAAGTGATATTACCTAAATAAAAAAATTTATTGTTATACATGTTATATATTAGGAAACATAAGAGAGAATAGTATAACCATACTGTTTTTATGCAGTGTTAATTATAGACCAGAAAACTATTGTTTTATGCCTTGAGAAACATAGCTATCTGAATGAAACGTGGCAAGGTAGTAACATGAAATTAGTTTCAAGTTAATGTTTATTATTTAAATAATGAAATAAATATATAAAAACTTTGTTCGGTAAATAGTGAATTTGAGTACTCCCTTGAGATACGTCACTGAAAATACGCTCCTTGCGCGCCCTGAAAATATATACCTGGTAAATAAACTCCTTAAGATTTCTGGCTCCTCGCCGCGGAACTCTTGATTTTGATGATGTATAAAAAGATGTACCAATAAAATAATATTTGCAAACGATCAAACAGACTTATAAGATAATCCGAACACTTATCTTTCGTCCGAATAATCAATAAATAATCATAAAATTAATGTGATATATAACCTTCCTTTTTAACCTACCTTCCTTCATGATTTTATCATGTTTATGACTTTTTTATCATGTTAATTTTATGGCTATTGATTATTAAAGTAAAGGAAAAGTGTTCGGACTGTCTTACGGATCTCCTCGATTTATTTGCAAGTATCATATTGTAAACATGATATTTTATTTCAATGTATTTGCAAGAATTTTTAATATTTATTTTCTCGCCCTTCTGACATCATAAATCAAGATGACCATGTCGAAAGTCTAGGGAGTCAATTGTATATTAACATAATGTAGTAAAAATTGCAGAAGTGAACAAATTCATTAGATTTGACAAATAAAAGTAAATCTTCTGATAAATTTGTTCACATTTAATTTTCATCAAGTTGTGATAGTATATATAATCGACTCCCAGGAACTTTAACGGCAATCGATATACGAAATATCTGTTTCAGATACTATGGTTAGCGTTAGCATGAAGGACCAGACGAGCACGGTCTCTGTGACTCTTCAGAACTCGAATATACAGTCCCAATATCATCAGCAGCAGCAGCAACCGAATAACCAACCGAATCAATCTCTCCAACAGCAGACGCAGCAACAGCAACAATCACAGCAGCAGCAACAGCCGCAGCAGCACGTGTCGCAGCAGGTCGTTACCGAACAAACGAAAACAGTGACGAACGATGGCAACGGAGGAGAGTCCAGGGACGATGGTTCATCCGGTCAGAATCATGCCAACGTAACCAATCCAGCTTTGGCAAACATGAAAGAAAAGACACCTATGTGTTTGTTGAACGAGCTGGCGAGATTCAATAGGGTTCAGCATCAGTATAGACTCACTAATGAGCAAGGACCGGCGCACAAGAAGAGATTCACTGTGACGCTAAAACTCGGCGAAGAGGAGTATATCGCGGAAGGTCCCAGTATAAAGAAGGCTCAACACAGCGCAGCGACAGAAGCGTTAACTAAGACTTGGTACCGTCAGCCGCCCCCTAAACCCACAAAGGCCATGAGGATTGGTCATCTAGGCAAATGTCCAACCGGCTCGGGTAATTTTGATTATGAATTTCACTTAATGTCATCTTATTTATAAGAGGCACACAAAATCCAAATTCTTTTTTAAACATCCTTGACATATCTTATATTTATTTTATATTTATATTTGTATTCTCTCTTATTATACTCATATGATATACTTTTCTATTGTATCCGTGGAGAAAGAAAAAAGATTGGTTGAAATCACATGACAATAACACAATTAAATTCTGTTTTTATTTGAGGACGTGTTTAATTTAGTGTCATTGTCATGTTAGTTCGACCAATCGTTTTTCTTCGTGTAATTAATTGAATTTCGTTGCTTGACAGGACATTTGCCTCCCACTGTTGAACTGAACGCTCTTGCCATGAAACGCGGCGAACCGACTGTCTACACATTTCGACAAGCACCACCAGCCGCACTGCAGCATCAATATGCGGTAACGCACGGTTTCGGCAACTATCCGCGAATGTTTAACCCACGACTTCCGTACAATCGCGGAGTTCACACGGATCTTCAAGGATTGTATCTCGTTTCTCTGAAAGTCGGCGAACGCGAGTTCACAGGCAGAGGTCTGACCGGGCAAGCGGCCCGTCATGACGCGGCCAGCAGAGCCTTGGAACAATTGCGCCAATTACCACTGCCGGAGGAAGTCGCGAACGCTAACAACACCAACGAGAATGGAACATTGAGCGGAATCGACGATCCGAATGCAGAATTGAAGAGTCCAGTATCTTTAGTCCATGAGACCGCATTGAAGCGTGGGCTACCAGTCAGCTTCGAAGTCGTCTCAGAGAGCGGTAAACCCCACATAAGAACTTTCATGACGAAGTGTACTGTTGGTGACAAAGTTACCGTGGGAGAAGGATCCTCGAAAAAGGTAATTTTAATAAAACAATGGCAATTGTACAATTTCTCACAAAATTCTTTTCTCCATTCTTTTATATTTTCCAGGTATCAAAAAAACGCGCCGCCGAGTTAATGTTAGAGGAACTGAAGCGTCTTCCCCCGTTACCCGCTAGCATACAAAATCGATCACTGCGAGTCAAGCGTAAGCCACCGGCAACAAAGAAGAAATCTCGTAATTTAATTAAAGTCTATCAAGAGCCCCGCTCGGAAAACGAAGCCGCGGAGGAAGTTAATCCGGTCTCGCGTCTGGTTCAGATTCAACAGGCAAAACGAGAACGAGAGCCCGTCTACAATCTTATAGACGAGAAGGGCGCGCCGAGACGCAGAGAGTTCATCATGGAGGTGACTATGGGTCAGCATTCAGCTCAAGGAATTGGACCTAACAAGAAATTGGCCAAAAGAGCTGCTGCCGAAGCTCTTTTGACACAATTAGGGTACAGCAAACCGTCGCCACAACCCGCCAAGCCATCCATTAAAACAGGAGACAGTGAGAATACGGAGACAAAGCCCAGGAAGGTGACATTTCTCGAAGATGATCAAATAAACGATACTCAACCTCACTCGGTAGGAGGTAAGCTAAAAACAGTGGTTCTGTGATCCAATTCTTCATTTGTGACATATATTGTTCTTTCATTTAGGTACTATCGGCCGTCAATTAGCACCTGGTCTTCTACTGGTGGATGGAGGTCAAGAATCTAAATTAGGGGGCGGACCCAGTGTGCAGATAGTTGCTGAAGAATTGCGTGGGCAGCAGCAGCAGAACTCCGCTGGTGTCTCACCCAAAGATCAATTGCATTATCTATCTCAGTTACTTAACTTCAGTGTAGAATTCAGCGATTTCCCGAAGGTAACTTCAGTGCTATCACTTGACTTGCATTAACATAAAATTAAGATTAATTAATTTTACAATTTTTTTTTTAAGTGAAGAAAAGAAAGGAAGGAAGTGACGAGCGCAAGGAATTGACAAATGCGTATCGTCGAAATAATTTTATTTATACTCCAATCACTTAATACTATTGAAAAAAAACGTTACACTTATGAAATTCTAAACTACAGATCTATTTATCAAAATTATTCTATATGATCTCTTAATTATTTTGAATATCTTTTCTATATATTAGCGATTTGGTATAATATTAAGATCTATGATAAAATAGCAAATATTCAGATTTCATTTATTATTCCAGGGTGTGTCCATAAACAAGGAATATCTTTCGCTCGTATCACTCAGCACCGATCCACCGCAAGTATGTCATGGCAACGGAGCGACAATAGCTGCGAGCCGTAATCAAGCGGCGTTAAGGGCTCTTCGTACTCTCACGAAACTGGGACTTGACAATGCTGCGAATGCGCAAGCGAAGAAAGACAAAGGTGCGTCTGGTGATGGAATACACATTAGCATTCAAGTTAAAAACAACATTATGGATGGAGCTATCGATAAGTAACTGAATAACGTTTAAGACTCGCATACAACGTTGAGTTATATTTATGCTTCTTTAAGACACTGCGAAAGAGAAAATTTATTATTAAATTTTTTTATTGAAAAATTTATTGTGCGGTATTAATAAGGATTATCAATACCAAGGGTTATTATTTCGAGCGGTTTTTTATTTACTTATGGACATATTTACATGTTATTTTATATTTACGATCTCTTTCTTTTTTATTATGCAATGATTTAACTATATTTTGAATTATAAAATAACACTTGTCTATTGTAGAAAAATCATAATTTATAAAAATGTACTTTATCAAACAAAAAAAAACAAAGATTATCGCGCGATTACGCTTTTATGTACTTGATATTCACTTTTATTTTATGTACTTGATGCTCAAATTGTTGAATTACGAAAAGTTAAATTATGAAAAGTTGAATAAAAGTTCAACAAACATCCGATCAGTTATATATTATTGGTTAATTATATATATTAATGATCATTGCTTAATTATTATGCAAAACTTTCTAATCTTTCACAGTGTCTTAATTATATTGAAATGCCGTTCAAGCACCAATAAGCCATGTGTATTTAATAACTGCGTGAAAATCTTTCTGTTTAGTAATAACAATCTGATCAGTCACAATAGATAAAGCTGACTTTCTGTGACTATCGGAGATACGTTACTATCAATCGTATTGTAGACAACGGCGTATCGTTGAACTACTCGTATATATTTGCACTTTTTGCAAAATTGATTAACGTTACGTGAGATCACGACAAACGTTTATTATTGGTGCTTGATCGCGGTTGCGATCCTAGCAGTGACCAGCTATAACCGCTATATTTATTGTGTAACCTTTTCATTGAGAGGATCGCAATCGAAGTGCGAAGAATAACTTATCCACGAGAATTCGAGATGATTATTCGCCAATTGTAACTGGCCAATGATCATATGAACACTCGGTAGACACGATAAGCAGAGTTACGAAATCTGGAGATGAAATGCGACCATCTCTTCATTTCTGAATTACGAGTTCCTTGGCTTTCTCATTATTATGAATGAAAAATGAAGCTATGTCTTATTACCTAACGCTGAAACGCGAATTATCGCGTGAATGATCGTAGTACGATTTCTTTCTTCCTTTCTTTCTGTTACATTTCAATATATTCTATTTTTTCCTCTCGTCGTGATCAATTAGCTTACGATATAATGTACTTTTATCGTTTCGTCAAAGCAGATCTCAAAATTAATTTCTATTTTGTCGCATATAAAAATGATGTTTTTTCTCAGAGTATACTCTGGTTACCTCAGCTTAAGATAAGTGATTGTGTGAAAGATTGAGTAGTTATTGTTTGATTGGTAAAAGCCGTACCATAGGTAATGCGATATACAACTCTCTCCACGCCCCAGTTTGCTTTTCTACAGGGGCCAGAAGCATTCTGGAGCTCGTACATTCATATTCCGTAAAATATTGAGAAGTGAAGGAAAATAGAAATTTCCATACACCTATCTATCTATCTCCGGCGGTGGATAAGTAAAATGGATACGTTGTGTATTGGAAATTTCGCTGAATCTAAAAAAAAGAAGAAAGAGAAAGTGAGAACAAGGAGAGAAGAAAAAGGTAATAACTCAAAATTTGTCCCGTTGCATCGAGAATATTACTGAATTATTTTCGACAAACGGATTTTTTCTGTCAGTCAACGGTGAATTTTGTCTTGTTGCCCAAAAAAGAGGAGAGGAGAAAGAAAATGAGAGAAACGTTACGGCACGGAGAAAATTCGATAATGAACGAGGAACGGGCAATGAGAAACGGTACAGACTTCAAGTAATAGCGTTGCTTTTATTTGTCGAAACGAAGAATTTCTTTCGCGCACTCAACACGAGGATGTGATCAACGTTTGCCTTCACCGACAACATTTTATTCCGCAAAGATCTTTGTACTGACATTCTCAATCTCAGCCTGTCCTCTCATTCATCGTTCGCATACAACTCGATTTATTGAACAACAAACAAAATTATATAACTGTTATTGTTCACTAAACTCGTGCACGTACTGATTTCATAACGCCCACTCGTTACATCGTAGATTGCGTAACTGATGTCGAGCATTCGAGACGATTCCCGAAATAATGCACGCGGTTACATTCGATCATTCGTTGAAGGCCATTTGCAAACAATTATTTATTGATTCGTCAGAGGAGCTCGTGGAAATGAGCCGCCTCTCTTGGTCTGATTATATATCGCTTTAATAGATGGGCCTTTCTTGTTCATGTGGCATTCAGTATTATGAGACATAGTGGTAGATCCCATTATATATATATATATATATACATATATATATATATATACATATATATAGTTTTTCAAGATGAACACACAGAGAGGAAGAAACCAATTTGATGAACAACTGTCGTCCCACGCTGGGAGGATAATTTTATGCGTGTAACGATAATACCATAGTTAATCGTAATGATAAGCGAACAACGTTTCACCGAAATATAGGAACTATACGAATTCCTCGACACTTTAAAGATGGCCTGTTAAGTTAAAAATTAAACCCGGTGCATGTACTCGGGCGCGAATCCGCAAAATGTCGAGGAAACGCGAAAGTTATTGTGCCGATATCGGCTGAGAGCGGGAGAGAAATAATCGCGGAATTGATAAGGAATAATCAGTTTCATGTATAATTCATATTGCGTTTCGTCTTTGCGTTTTAACGACACCCATGAGACAGATTATGGAACGTTAGGAAACCTCAAATTAGTTAGCTGCATAAAAAGAAAAATTGCGATTACTTCCGGGAGGCAAATGTAACGAATCTTCGCAATTTTTATTTTTATTAATATCGCGAGAAAGAAAAAAGGGAGGTACGCTTGACGTCGTCAAATAATTTTATTGTGTTTATCCAAGCGAAACGATTTGTTGGTACGTAACAACAATGAAACACTTATCTAATGTAAATTCTGAATGAGAATTGCTTCTCCAATAAATAAGACCTACAGTATCCGGGAAGACTTTTCATATTGGCGAGATTTTCAATTGCGTTACGAAAGATGAATTGTACAACGTATTTTATGGGAATCTACTGCTTTTCTCTCTATTCACATCGGTTTATATTTATATCAGTTTATATTTGATAAACAACTGTAGAAAGGTTTCGTATATATATATATGTACATGGCCTTTTTACTATGCGTTTTAAATATACGCATGACAAGGTGGCACACGAATGTCAGTACATTTTATTTGAATCCTTTACAAATCTGATTTGACAAAGTCGAATTATTTGAAAATAAAGAAGTTTTTAACCCACCATTGTCGTAATACTCGAAAAATAGAGTTTGGGTATCAATCATGAATCTTTTCGCGTAAACTCTTTTATTTATCAATTATTTAATTTCTTTCCTAGTATGCAATCATAAAAAGTGAATCATTTTATAGTACTTAGGGCCGTGGCACACAGAAAAGCTTAAGCAGTAAGACGTAAGCATTAAACAAATTGACCAATCACAGTCGTTGATTCTTCTTACGGTCCAAGAATCAACGACTGTGATTGGCTGATTCGCTTACTGCTTACATCTTACTGCTTAAGTTTTTCTATGTGCTACCAGCTTTAGAAGCAATTATGAATTTTTTTCCTCTAGTGTAAGTTCGTGGAAACATCACATAATTTTCAAGATTAGTTCGAAAGTTTCCACTACGAGCCGCCACCGACAAATCGAGCTTATAGTACAAGTCAATGACAGAGCAGCCAAGCCTAAACTTTGCAAGTAATACAACTCAATGTTGAGTCAGATGGTCGCTTATTAGTTTGGGATGGGACCCGATTGGACACAGATTGTAATGATTGGTTCGACCTAGTAATTCACTAGATAGTTTTTTCACCTGTTGATTGTGTCCAATCGTACCGTGGTCAATCAGGACGCTCCCATTAGTTTGTTACATGCTCCGCTACAAATCGCCATTGTTCTTACTGATTGGCCGAACATTTTTTATAAATTTTGTGATTGGCTAGAAGAGTTTTGTGGCGTCATTAATTGACCCCAGGTCGATTAAAGGCTGGTTTATGTTCGCCGTAATCCGTTAACTTATGCCGGAACCGTAAAAAATTGACCAATCACAGTCGATTATTCTTTTATGATTCGACTATAATTGATCAATTTTTTTACGGTTCCGGCATAAGTTAACGGATTACGGCCATCATAAACCAGCTTTAACTCAAATCTAAACCGTGTTCCGTTTCACGCATATACGCGCATTTATCTATAGTTCGTGTTATGCAGGATTCACACCGCGTCTGGTGTCCGACATACGACGTCCGATATCCAATAAAAGAATAGCTTTCCAATGGAGAATTTAATTCTCTATTAGAAAGTTGTTCTCCTATTGGATATCGGACATCGTACGTCGGACATCGGACGCGGTGTGATCCATCATTACGTATATTGTAGGCAATGCGTGAACGGAACGCAATCCCAATCGAATACGTTATCGGCTTGATTTATATCGTGCACTTGATACGCGTACTAAATAGTAACTTTTTATTAAATAATCTTAATATCGAATAATGCATATCAACGGCGATGCATTCAATCAATACAATACGTTTTGTTGATGAGTACTACTAGTTATACTAGTTTAATATACCGTTGTTTATATATATCGTCGATATTAAGATTATCTAATAGAAAGTTACTATTTAGTACGTGTATCAAGCGCATGATGTAAACGAAGCCAATGCATATCAACGGCGACGCACTCAATCAATACAATACGTTTTGTTGATGAGTATTATACCAACTTAATATACCGTTGTTTATATATATCGTTGATATTAAGATTATCTAATAGAAAGTTATTATTTAGTACGTGTATCAAGTGCACGATATAAACCAAGCCATTATACCGTTGTTTATATATATCGTGTAAACCAAGCCTTGATTCACAGGTTAAAATCCACTTGGGCTACAAGCGCTTTAGAGTGCGTAAAAAAATTATGATTGGTCTATATGGCTTTTTGAAGCAATTGTAGCGTCAAATGGATCCTACTACATCAGGTGAAATATAAATGGCGGACAATATCCAACTCTTACTAAAGAAACTCCACTCTGACGAGTCAACTACTCTACAATAGCACGACCGGATTATTGTGAAAATTGAACGAATTTAAAGTTCATCAAGAAGTTTGTCGCTTCTTTAATAATAAAGAAGAGCTAAACATCAATTTATCAGTCAGTCGTTGTCCATCTCTAATTACGATTTAAAGAAGAAAAAGTAAGTAATATATCGATTGATATTGATCAAACATTGCTTAGGTTTAGGTTAAATGCATTGCCAGATGTTTTGTGAAACAGTACTTTGAAATATCGAATTAAAAATACAAATTAAGTCTGACGTATAAGAGAAGAAATAATAATGTTGAAATCTGTACTATACTAGGTTATCATAATTTCTGGTGCATGGTGATAATTACTTTTATAATTCGCACTGATTTATACACTACTCAAATCGTATGTACATTTTACTCTATACATAGACTTTTTTCAGTAGTTAAATGATATGCATTCAAAGATTTATAAAGTATATTGTTAAATATAAAACATAATATAAAAAAAACATTCAAGTTGGCATATCAAGCAAGAGCTACAGTAAACTTGTATATGCTCCATTATACTTTTTAAGTTCAAAAGAGTCACTTTTGTTTTACTTAAATTAAAAGCAAAAAATTGTTTATTTCAAGTGTAAACATGAATTCCTTAATTGGTCGCCTGGAGCAAATCCAGTCCTATCTCTGTTAAAATGGGAAGAGGTTAATCTCTGGTTCGTATATGTATAAAGTTGTGTACAAATATATTCATAGAGTCTGCTAAGCCTGTAGTTTATTTGGCAACAGGATACAATTAACGCTGTGTAATATTTTGTTTTAGAACATCAGGATAAATCATTAGAGTAATAAAATCTCTAGTGGATGCAAAAATGTTCAAGAATACATTTCAAAGTGGATTTTTATCCATTTTATACAGTATTGGCAGCAAACCACTGCAAATATGGGACAAGAAAGTTAGAAATGGACATATCAAGAGAATCACTGACAACGATATCCAGAGCCTTGTCCTAGAAATATTAGGCAGTAATGTTAGCACAACGTATATCACTTGTCCTGCCGATCCTAGAAAGACTTTAGGTATAAAATTACCTTTCTTAGTGATGATCATCAAGAATCTGAAGAAATACTTCACATTTGAAGTTCAGGTGAGCTCATTGATCATTTTCTTATTGATTTTGTACATTGAGATATTAAGCGTTAGTCCATCATTGCCCTCAGTTTGTCTTTTGTCCTGATGTATGTTTTATATGTTACAGATAATAGACGACAAAAATGTACGCCGTAGATTTCGCGCCAGCAATTATCAGTCTACAACAAGGGTGAAACCGTTTATCTGCACTATGCCAATGAGATTGGATGACGGATGGAACCAAATACAATTCAACCTGGCCGATTTCACGCGTCGAGCATACGGAACGAATTACGTGGAGACACTTAGGGTCCAAATTCACGCTAATTGTAGGATACGTCGAGTGTATTTTTCGGATCGGTTATACTCTGAGGACGAGTTGCCAGCGGAATTTAAATTATTCTTACCGATTCAAAATAAAGCGAAGTGTTAAAATATGTGAAAGGGGAACGCGAAACTTGGAAATATCGCCTGTTTCAATATTTCATTCAAAACGACAAAAATCAATTTCGTGCCAGTGATTATCAGGGTATATTCAAGAGGGTTGAAGCCTGTGCTGTGCCGAAGAAACTGAACTATTGTTAAAACTAGATTCAACTTGACTGTCTTCACTCCTCGAGCATGAGGAGCAAACTACGTGAAAATACTTGGGGTCCAAATTCATGCTGATTACAGGACGAGTGTGTTTTTCGGATCGATTATGTCCAAAGAAAGATTTACCAACAGAATTTAAATAATTCTTATAAATTTAAAATAAGCGCCGAAGAGAATACAAAGTCAAAAAATCACTTTACTTGTTAATGTAGTTTATTTAAATACGTCGCTGAAACTTGTTGGAATCATTTTAAAAATAAAACGTTAAAACTTTAAGATTAGTAATTTATTTAATGGCAGTTAAAATGACATTTTATATTTATTATGATTCTTTTTTTGCATGAAATTTTAAACGATATATTTTTTTCAGGTGAATTTTCGGGCTAATAACTAAGTTCATCATAAAGCAGTATACATTTGTGCATGCATCATCTAAGCCTACCTACAAGTTTCTGTTGGCTGCAATAATTTTTTCGATTTATCGCGTCATACATGGAGAATTCTACCTGCGGCCTGACGAGTCCTTTATCCCGCAATTTTTCGAAAAATCTGTTTATCAGACTATGTGCAGATATAAGATTATATACAGTTTTATCTTTTTTTAAACACGTGCTTGGCGGTTTTATATTGTTTGGTTTCGCTTCTTTTCCGATCGCATACGAAGTATAATTATCTTAAACATTTTCCTCGACAGTAACCGAAGATCTTAAATCATTAATGGTTTTCTTATTCTTTTTTGTGTGTCTATTGTTACAGACAATTATATCGTTCTTCATTTGATCGCAGCTAAACCCAACATTCCTAGATAAATTGGGCTTGGAAGCTAATGGAACATTGGCAATGGATATTCCAAATTTTGTATTTGTGATAGAATTAACATCACTCCTCTGTGTAACGGGAGTATCTTCTAAATCTTGAATTCTATACGGATGCAGACGTTTTGGAAATCCTGGTTTATTTTGAACATTTTTCTGGAATAATGTTTTACCGACGTGCATCCTCAGAAACTGACTTGTCCCGACGAAAGACGCAGGATGCGACATACGATTGTTAAGTTTCATGAAAGAATTTGCATTCCATGTCTCGTGTGTTATTTTTCTATTTCGATTTCCTTGTTTTTCTGTCGTGCTATTACTGATCTCTTTCAGTTTATTTCCCATGATCGATTCATTTATCAAAGACTTCGAGTGACTCCGACTTCGTCGCTCCATAACATTCTGATTATTATGAATTTTTGCTTCATTGACCAAGGTATTTAATGATATATAATTCTTTTTCAACGTCTTAGGATTACACGAATTTGTAATGGTATCAAATACGTTCGAATTTTCCAATTTATTTATATCATTAGTATTTTTGGATAAGTCAGCTTTTGTTGGTGGTACAATTGTTCTATCATTATTTGCTAACAGATTTGAATCGCATTCTTTTGATAATCCTAAAAATTGGATAAAAGATAGACACACATTGATATGTATACTCAATACTTATATGAAGAACATATGTGAAACCTGTATGACATTCTTCTGTCTGACAAGTCTTTTCAATGAAGTTAATCCCCCACTTGGACATGTACGTGTCGAGAAATGCGTTGTACAATTCGATAGCCGTTTCATCGTGATTATAATGACGATCTTGCAGATATACTCTTCTCAAACGGCAGTTCGGGTAAACGATCATTCTTTGCAACGCCTCGTAATCCGTCCCATACGCCACATGACAAAGAGTCTGAAGATTTATCTCCAGAGTATTCCAATGTTCCTCCAACTTCAGTGGAATACGAGCCACGCTTGGATTGACACTTGGTAATTTCTCGAGATTATACGTTAGGAAAGAAAATCTCCTCCGATACTGTTTCTTATCTGTTATCTTTGTGCACAGAAAACAGAAGATCATCCTAAAGACATTGGCAACAACGCGATTGTCTCTCTCAGAAATCACAGAATGTGATATACCTGGACTTCCAGCTTGAAGCGTGATTTTAAATTCTTTATTATTAATACGAGAACGCCAAGCCTGATGTTCAAAGTGTCTACGACCTTGGCAGGAGCAGTTATACTCGTGGGAACGACACTGTCATGGGACCCCAGGATTTCGATTACCTTGTCCCCGTGCAACGTGTCATCGCTCACCCTATGGATCGTGCCGCCCAAGGAAACGTGCTTCGACCATAGCTTCAACGGTTTGTCCGCGACACCGTACAGCAACGATATGTAGCCACAGATTTGATTGCTCGACATTTTTCTCTCACGGGCAATTTACATAGAGGAAGAAAGAGATCGCGTACTACAGATATACGAAAGAGGTAATGCTAAAGTAACTCTTTTTCTATTAGTAATGTATATTTTACAGTACATTGCGATACATGATTTCCCCTTTTTCTCGCAGAATTTATATAGAGAACGACGGAAATTTGGTAACTGTCCTCATGGTGGTGCTTTAATTGCACTGGAGATATTCTCAAAGGTTATGTCCGAGTTCTGTTTACCTGCTTTTGTTTTACATGCGTTCTCTAGTATGATTGCCGAAAATGTTAACGTAAATAAACATTTTCGACAAACAGATTGATATTGAAAAGGATACTCGATGATATACACATATAATAATCATAATAAGCCATAATAATAATTAACAAGTAATAATTAACAAAGGCATTAATAATAATGATACATTAATTTTCGAAAATTACTCGTAATTCTTAATCTCGTGCTAACAAAAGAATAATATATTGCGATTGATATATATTTGCTCGTTCAAGTATTATTGCATTAATATAATTATAACTATGATATCTGTTGTATTCGCTTCATTAACGTTTATTCAATTTGACAGTTGCGTATTGTTATAATTTCAGCGTCGAAAAAGACGAAATGAAATGCACGGCCGAATTATCAGTCGATTGGAAACATCGCTATCATTATCGTTGCCGATCGTGATGAACATGTCATCGTCATCGCTTCGTTACATTTTCCGGAGGATTATCTTCACCCATCCGTCACCGCGAAAATACCTCTCTCGAGCGTCGCGTTTCTCTCCCGATCCGTATGTAATCGTGCACGTAATCCTATCGCCAGGACGAAAAAGGAAAATAATGAACGTCAATACAAAATAATTAACGAAATAATGATCGTCTCATTATACGAATGTGGCATTATTGTTAGGATCGACAGGGGGATGACGGGGGTAGGCGAAGGTAGGGAGGACGGGAAAGAGGGTAATCGCCAGACATACGCACACATGAGTACCCGGCGCGCGTATTAATTGCTAATTATTAAGTATTGATTTTTTTAAATGGGGACGTAGAGCGTAGCGCCAGGCATCCCCTTCCCCATCTCCATCGAGGGGTGGCTGCTCGTTCGCGTCAAGTATCCGGAACTATTTTCCGCGGCGCGCAAAAACGCGGCACGCGCGCGTAGTAACATTCGGAGGACGCGAAAAATGGCGGGAAACGACGGACGCCTCGAGAGGGATTTTCCACGTGTGCGGACGGCCAGCGAACGAAAACGCGCAACGTGCGGCTTAACGGGCATCGCGACGTCGCCGCTCGTGTTGTCGGTGACGCAAACATGCGTTCCCGCAACACGCATCATGCGCGGGAAATCGCAGGAGAAATGAAAAAAAATTGGCGCTCGCCGGCCGGCGCGCCTGCATGGCGGACCAATTAAGAGTAAGTTGCGCGCCGATACGTTTTATTCTTTGCGCGTCGCATGGCCGTGTCGTCGTCGTCGTCATCGAGCGCAATGTAACACACGATTTTTACGATCCACCACTACGGCGACAGCGGCGGCGTCGGCGGCGACGACGGCTCGCCGTCGCGACGCTTTTCAAGCGACGCCGTTGTTGTATTGTAGATATGTATGCCGCGCGCGCGACGCCGCGTTGAGCGCTGCGCCGCCGCGCCGCGCGCCGCTCCGCGAAGCGCCGGCGGAATCCATAAATAAAACAATTGGTTATATACATATGTTTTTCAAATCGACGAATGCTATTATATATTTTGTATTGAGCACTCGGGGGGAGACGAGACGGACGGACGGACGTACAAGCCGCCGACGCCCGCGGGTGCCCGCGCCGTGCGATACCTAGCCGCGCGTCTGTTTTTATAAAGCAAAGCAACGGGGCACGACGACGTCTCGCGTCGCGTCGCGTCGCGCCGTGTCGTGCCGTACCGTGGCCGCGCGCGGCTTATAATCTCCTCGCCCAATCCCCGCGGTTCGCACACACAAAAGTACATACGGCGGAACAAAAAAAGAGGGAAAATCGTTATAGAATAATCAAGCACGTCGCGCTCGTTCGCTTTCGCCCGCCGGGGAGACACGCGCGCGGCACAGTCTCGGCTTCTTCGCACACAGCATCGCCGCTCCTCGCGACGACGAGGACGAGGATGCACCGTCGTCGTCCGAACATATGAAGACGTCGCGCCGGGGCGGTGAGGCGACGTGCGTCCTAGCCGTCGTTACGTGACGGGACGAGGGAGAAAAGAAAAGAGAAAAGAGCGCCGACGTGGTCACGCTCTTCCTCTCACCGAGTACCGCGTGCGTGCCGCCGCCGACGTTTACTACTCGCTTCGCGTGCTTCATCTCTCTTTCTCTCTCGTTTTCTCTCATTCTTTCTCCCTTTTTAACACACACACACACACACACACACACCTCTTCTCTCTTTCTCCTTCTTCCTCTTTGTTCGCGGGGTTCGGCGAAAAGAAGTCTTCCAGCTGTGAAACGAGAGGAAAAATCGTCCCTCTCTATTTTTAATTAATCCCTTCCTTTCTCTCTCTTCCAGCAGATCCACACTTCATTTAGTTTCCCATCGTCTTCCCTATTCCTTTTTGAAATGGATACGGCGGCACGCGATCTCGAGCAGCGCGATCGGCAAGCGGATTATCAGCCCATGGTGTTCCACTGCCGGATTTGTGCAGCCAACATTGCAGCCAACAATGACGGGGTGCACATTTTCGCTGAGGACGGCCGGCGTCATTACCTGCAAACGAAGATACGGAAATATCTATACATTCTGGTGAGTGATCGCGAGACAAGTTGCTACACGTGAGACGCGCAGCGATCGTCTCTTTTTCACTTCTCGTTTTCATTTCACTCTCATTTTTTATTTTTTTTTATTTTTTTTTTTGAAAATTCGCCTCCCTCCACACAGAGTGTATATGTGTGCATGTGTGTACGCTTGTCACGATTGCAGTCACGCGCCAGTCGCGGGTGAATTTCAGTCGTTACCGAGTTTCGAATTTTGAAATCAGCGTCGCGCCGTTCGGTAATCGGCAACGACAAGATAATCATCGACCTCTCGAGATCGGTCGACGAGAAATCGCGACGATTCCCAAACGAGACACGATATCGCGAGACGGGATTTTCACGTGCGACGAGTGCCGATTTTTCGCTCGCGAGAAATCATGTCTATGATAACAATACGATCATGATAATTCTTCGTGATCAAACGCGAATACAAGCGCGATTGTGATCGCGAGAAATTTATGACGTGGCGAATTTCTGTATGGATGATGCGACAAAGGTGTTAATCCGAGTGGATCGTCGTTAACCGTTTCCTTTTTCCCAGACAATTTTTTCCTCAGCCGTGGATAAATCGTGTTACAGTGATCAGTGCGCGATCTGTGATGTTCGTTCAAGTATAATGTCGACATTTCCGTAACGCGAGTGCCTTAAGGGACATGACGACGTGTATGCGTCTCGCGAGAATCTCCGGTCGAAAATTAATTAAACCAGTCTTAATGACAGTCGCGAAATGTCAACGTGCTTATTGCAATAACAATGCGACGGTATCGGTGATCGCGTAGGCAAAATATACCCGTCGTACGCGACCATTTTGTGCGGAGCTGCAAAAGTGTTAAAAATTAGCATTTTATTGATTGCAATAAGTATACCGTGCAGTGCGCGCTATATAAGTACTACATCTATAAATATAATCGGAAATGAGGGGTGGTGATGGTAGTGGTAGTGGTGGGGGAATGTCGGGAAATGACGTAGAACGGAATAAATTACGGAGAATGCGTCAATCAGATGTATTGTTCGAAAAATATCGAGGATTTTTAAATAAACACCAGCTCGTCCTGTCCGACGAAATTATCGGCGTTCGTGACGCACCAAAAGCTAGGTTAATTGCACGACAATACCGAAAGGAATTACGATGCATTATGCGACAAATAATGATAATGATGTTAATAATGTTTCTACTATTAATTTTATAATAAACAGAAATGACATTATTAATATTTGAAAATGACATTCATCATTGACCTTTAATATTGGCTTATTTCCCTATTGCTCAAATTATTTTCTGCCAATTAAAAGAAATGTTTAACAGATAAAAATAAATTAAGGGAAATAATAAATAAACCTGTATCTTCATAAGGACGCAAAATGTAGAAATGAATTTTAAAATGATTTACTATAAAATACTTCTATAATTATATTGTATTCCAGTCTGTATTTAAAAATATATATGTTTTACAGTGTACGTAATTATATTTATCATGTAAAGTATACTTATCTTTTAATGCTCCACAGGTATCATCGGAGGATAAATTTTCAAAAATGGTTTGTTCTGTGTGCATTAAGAGACTGGAAGGTGTCCATCGCTTTGCAATGATGGCATATCGTACCCAGGAAAAATTAAAATCCCAGCTCTATGGTAACATTGACAATACGAATCCTGTACAAGATGAAGAGATGCAGAGTATTAAAAATACGCAAGATAATGCAAAGAAAGTAGAAGAACGAGGGTTATTACATTCAATATTGACAAAGGTATATGCTATATACTCTTCTATTTTTCTATTAATAATAATTTCAATGTATATGTATATATACATTAATTAGTATATAAATATATATGTAAATTTAATTATTATATATATATATATATATATATATAAACTTATTAATATATATAAAGTTATTATATATATAAACTCTTGTATGCAAGATATAAGTACTCATTAACGTTTTATTTAGCAGGGTACGATAGAAATTGTAACAGAGGACGAGCCACTGGGACCACCAGAGTTAAATTCCCAAGAAGATAAACGTCACACCACAAACATGGAAGAAATGGAGGTGAAAGTGGATCCAATGTTATTTTTACAATGCGGTATGGAACAGTCCGCATCAGATCCTTCGGATTCTTCTGACAACGAGGAAGAAATAATCAGAACATATTCGCCAGAGCCGCTACCATTGACAAAAAAGTAAGAATATTTACCGACAAATAAAGTATCACATTACAAAGCTGTTTATGTAGAAAATCTTATACTAACAGTCGAGTGTACTTGTTCAACATGAATTTCTTGTGTATATAGAAATACTGGAACGGAGGCAGAAGAGAAGAAGAGAGACGAAAGTGAGACCAAATTGCACGAAGACAATGAGAGAAATATGTCCATTACGGTGAAACCGCACGAATGTACAATATGCGCTCGGTCCTTCGTATCGCAAATTGGTTTACAGAATCACCTGTGGTCACACTTACCCCGAGAGAGAAGATTCGACGGGAAGTCTATTCTACGCTCTCAACACATTTACTCCACGAACGGTATACTTCATACGAACGGTGATAACAATACGTCCAGCAACTTCATCTGTCCAATCTGCAGTAAAAAAATCTCTACAAAGGGAAACCTGAAAGTGCATTTAGAAACGCACAGGCCTAAAGGAAAGTACGGCTGCGACATATGCGGCAGAATGTGCGTTTGTATCACGATAATAATCATAATTATACATATAATATTTTGACATTAAAATAATATATTGTATATGAAATATTATATAAATTTAGTTGTTTAATATTATAATATTAATATTATACTTTCGTAAGATTTCCGAGCTTTTCTAATTCGACGTGTTTAATTTTTTACAGTTTCAAGACACAATCGAATTTGTTCAGACACAAGGAGTACCACGGCGGCGTACAGTTTCCGTGCAACGTATGCGGCAGAGTTTACCCGACGAATTCGACGTTACGTGCTCATAGCATAACGCACTCGGATTTGAGACCGCACGCATGCCCACTTTGTGATAAGACGTTCAAACGTAATCAGGACCTGAAATTTCACATAAATCAGCATACGGGTGCGAGGCCTTATCAGTGTCCTTATTGTCCGAAAGCTTTCGCAAGCTCCGGGAACTGTTTTTCGCATCGTAAAAGAATGCATCCGCGGGAGGTGCATCGCGATCGGCAGAGAGCGGCCGATTTGATGAGATGAACCATGGGCAGTCAGTACGAGGACTGGTCTTAGAACTCGAATAACTGTTCTGTCTTATCGCAGGTGTGATCTCGTCGAGCGTGTATTAGTCGTCGTATAAGAGAACGTATCTTATTTCCGGAGAGTATAACGGTGCTAATGGAAGAACGGGAGATTTTGTATGCTTTATTATTCTTAAATTATTTACATTTTTAGCTTTAAGTACGTTGTTGTTGGTATTATATATTTTGTCAGTTATTTATTGGATACGTATATCTTTCTACTGTCCGATAGGGATGATTAGTGCGATATCGGAAAACTTTCGTCATTGTTTAGTGAGCTTAGTGATGAAGCTTTACTGCAATGTGTAAATAACAGAGAGAGTAAGTTTGAAATTTCATAGCCAGACTAGTCAGAGTATCGGTAGTTCTAGTGTTATTTTCGGAGCATATTAATGTAATTCGTCCCCGTCACTTTATTATTAGTAGGAGATAAAAGACAGTTAAATGCTTTAGGAATGCATCGTAATTATTGCATAAGTTGAGTTTTATATTTAACATAAATCTTTTTTTATCGCGTATTAGCATATTTTATTTTTGTGATAAAAATATACTCACTGCCACTTTATGCCGTTACTATTTTGTCGTTAGAATAGATATCAGTAGAGAGAGAGAAAGAGAGAGATGATATTGGTTTACAATTTACGCATTTATATTTTATAGAGAAAGCGCTATTTTTTATATTTAGTAAAAGACATTGTGTAATTAAGTGTGCGCTATATATATGTATACATGAAATTAACTTGACGACTCTGTGATAATTGTTTAGCACTGGTCCTTTTGTACTGGTTATGAAATTTACAACTTGCCGTCTGCTAAGCTGATATATAATAGAGATATGTACGAACGTAGATTACACGATCTATAGTACTATTCAAACGGTGAAGAAGAAAATTCTAAAAGAAAGATGTTATTTTACTCACACTGATCAGGAAGATATTCCACAGGGAAATTTATACGAGACATTATATATCGACCAAAAAAAAAAGAGAAAAATAAGAAAAAGAAAAACAGGGATTTGCGAAAAGAAAAAAAAGTTTTGTAGTTTGACATATTTTTAGCACAATATGAACATTATCATAACTATTAAGACTGTATACGAGAATTATGTGTCAAATTAGATAGTCAACTTTATAAGGCAAAGGTAACGTATCGATGAACGAGGTCGAATGTCGTTATACGTAAACAAGTCTAGTCGATGCAGTATTAAATATTGATAAGCGATATAGACGTCATAGTCGATATTACAAATATACGATCGTGATGTTATTCTTATAAACGAGTTACACGAGATAAATGTTAAATCGAAGTCTGAGTAGTTTTAGGAAGAACGTAGTTAAGTTAGTTCGTGTAACGTAGATCATAGTCTGTGCTTCCGTATAACGTATACATTTGCACACGCGTTGAAACACCGCAAGCGGAAAAAAAGAGAGAGAAAGAGAGAAGAAAAGGAGAAGAGAGAAACAGCATCCCATTGCAAACAGGTTAGAAAAATCAGAGTATACATGTAACTAATGCAGAAGATAATGGCGTGGTGGTGAATAAACGATAAGATGTTTAAAAGACGGCTTAATGGACCACACATATACACACACGATCGACACGAAATTTATTTTATATTCCGACTCACCGCGATTTCCTTTCGGAAAAATAAATACACGGTTAAAAAATGAATGCTTTGGAAAAAAACGATAGATGTAACGAAATTCACAAAAGTGTCGTAAAAGCAAAAAATAAACGAAAATGCGTCGAGCTATTCGTCGAACAAACATCTTAGCGTTTGTACAAGTGTAACAATCGGTACATAAACAATAAGTAGTGTTTACTATGTAATACAGAGACAAGAAATTCGAGTGTGTATAACCAACATTATTATTGCATTATTAGTGCATAGAGATACAAGCGTGTATTTTGCGATTACGTTTTTTCTGGACCGCTTGCCGACGTATATTATATATATGTGTATATATATATATATATATATATATATATATATATATATAT